TGCCATAAGAGACCATCTCAGAAAGCGTCACCAAATGGTAAGTTTTCGTGCAACAGAGAGAGAAAGCAATGGAGTGCTTAGGAGGTGGTTCTCAATTTATGACTGGGACCAGAATTTCTGTCATAAGTCAGGGTGGACCTAAAGAGAGTCCTCATGTGACCAGACATAATTTTATGACCATTTTTTACCATGATTGTGAGTCACGTGGTTGTTAAATTAATAACCCAGTTGTTAAGCAAATCCAGCTTCCTCAATTGACTTTGCTTGTGGGAAGCTGGCTGAGGAGGTCGCAGATAGTGACCAGGTGACCTCAAAAAATCAAAATGCCAGATTTCAATCCCGCTGAAATGAAGGGCCCCAGGCGTGGAGGCATTATGCAACTTAGCCCATTTGAGCTACCTTTTTTCAAAGATGGTTGCCCCCATAAAATACAGTGTTTCAAAATATATGCAATAAAATACTGCTTGTACAGCTTTGAAATGTGTGACTAGAAGTATCACCTCTTCCTCCTTTGCGGTATATCCTGTATCACTTTTAAGCAATATTTCCTTTTACCAATCCAGAACCTCCATGGATTAATCTCAATGATCAAGCCCTTTCTAGTAGTTGAGGGATAAACAGAGAAAATGGTACTTATCCACAAAAGCAATATTCTCGTAAGTCTTCAGCCTGACGGAATAAAACAAACACGTGTATCCTCACCTAATAATGGTAATTGGGACCGGCAACTCTTTTGGTTAAACAACACAGTCATAAAGCACAAAGTTACAAGACTGAGCCAACTCACAACAGCAGCTGCTGCTGTCTCAGTTGCCATTGTTAGGCAAACCCTTGTGCAATGCAGCATCTGACGGTCACATGATCTCTACTTCCTGCTGGCTTCCCCATTGACTTTGCCTTTTGCAAGCCAGCAGTCAAAGTTAAAAATGATGGGTTATGTGACTGTGGGACACTGCAAAATTGTAATTGTGAACTGGTTGCCAAGTGCCAGAATCGTGATCATGTTACTGTGGGGAAGCTACAATGGCCACAATTATGAGGACCCATCTTAAATCTCTCTCATTTGGGGCTGTAATAACTTTGGTTGCTGAACAAGTGATAATTCAATGCATAGAGATTAATAATAATAGTAATAATAATAATAATAGTAGTAATAGTAGTAGTAAAGTTGGAAGGGACCTAGTCCAACCCCCTGCTCAGGCAGGAAACCCTACACCATTTCAGACAAATGGCTGTCCAGTCTCTCCTTAAAAACTTCCAGTGTTGGAGCATTTACTGCTTCTGGAGGCAGGCTGATCCACTGATTAATTGTTCTCACTGTCAGGAAGTTTCTCCTTAGTTCTAGGTTGCTTCTCTCCTTGATCAGTTTCCACCCGTTGCTTCTTGTCCTGCCTTCAGGTGCTTTGGAAAATAGCTTGATTTCCTCTTCTTTATGGCAGCCCCTGAGAGATTGGAATACTGCTATCATGTCCCCCCTTGTCCTTCTCTTCGTTAAACTAGACATACCCAATTCTAGCAACCGTTCCTTATATAAGACATGAAGGAATGAAAACTAAAATGCCTTTTTTTAAAAACCCAATCTAACAGCTCTTCTCTCAAAGGCATGGGGATACAGTCCTCTGAAAAGGGTGGTATCAAATGCCTGCTTGAACTTGAGAAATTGTTCCAATCTAGAGACCAGCAGCTCTTTTAATTCTGAGTTATCCTGAGAAAAAGATGATTCTGTCCATTTCACTAATCAGCTTGCTCCATTTAGGAACAGGCTTTCTAATTAATATTCCCACTTGTTTGGACTCCTCCACACCTCTTCCCCTTTATATCCTGTGAAAGATGTGAATAAACCAGGATAAGACATTCCAGCCTCTAAATTTAGCTCACCACGATAACTTTTACCAATCCTACTACCTGTGGGATTCTGGGAGTTGAAGTCCTTACTTAAAATGGCTAAGGCTGAAAAACACTGATTTAAACCCTAGTTTGCAACTATTTATTTATTTGCTACCCATCTCATAACAAATCACTTTGGGCAGCTTCCAGCACTAAAACATTAAAAACCTAGCAAATAAATATATTTTAAAAGAATAAAAAATAGAATAAATTATGCATAGGATTGCTGATACCGCTGCCAAGGCCACCCACCAAGTTTCCTACCAATCCTGACATTTCCTTTAGAATTTCTTTTAATTAAAAATGGAAGGATCTGGCATTGTGCTCATAGCTTCTTCAGGGTCTGTGAAGACAAAGCTTGCAGCATAGAAAGCAGGTAGCTTTGCAGCGAAGTGGTAAAATATATCAAGACCACAGCTGCACCTGTGTGATCCAAATCCCACCCTCTTATGTGTTGTGGTGCATATAAATGGGGAGGGGTTTACCCACAGTGTAGCTGTGACCCTCTTGTCATTCCCACATTACTTTTTTTTTCTATCAGTTTGTTTAATTGTTTAATATGATCTGCCCAATCTCTTGGTCAGGGGAAGCTGAGTTCAAATGCAAATGCTGATCTATTTCAGCCCAGCTACAGGAAATCCTCAACTTACGACCATAATTAAGCTTAAAATTTCTCTTGCTAAGTCAGATATTTACTAAATGAATTTTGCCCCATTTTACGACCTTTCTTGTCACGTTTATTAGGTGAATCACTGCAGGTGTTAAGTTAGTAACATGGCTGTTAATTGAATCTGGCTTCTCCACTGACTTTGTTTGTCACAAAAGGGATCGCATGATCCCCGGGACACTGCAACCGTCATAAATATGAGTCAGTTGCCGAGCATCAGAATTTTTATCACATGACCATGGAGATGCTGCAATGGTTGTGTGAAAAACAGTCATAAGTCAGTTTTTTCAGTGCCACTGTAACTTTGGTCACTAAATGAACTGTTGTAAGTTGAGGACTACCTGCATTTCTGTTCAGCCCAATTCCAAATACTACTGTCAATACTCCAGGTACATCTTTTAGTTTCTTTCCTTCTCTTAATAAAGCTTCTCAAATTCTATCTGAACATCCCTCACTGAATACTTTGACTTCGTTCTTCACCTACAAGTCCCCAATAAGCAATTCCAACTTCATAACAAGTTTCTCCCACCACTTTGCAATGTACCAAACTCATTTCCTCCACCTCAGGAATCTCTAGTGAAGCTGTGGCTGGGAAGCAGGCAATGACCAAGCATTCCCAGGTTTCCACAAGCATCTATCTCAGTGTTTCTCAACCTTGACAATTTTAAGGCATGTGCACTTCAACTCCCAGAATTCCACAGCCAAATTAAAATTGTCAAGGTTGAGAAACACTGTATTCTAATAATAAATTAAAAGGGCCACATCCATGTATCCTACTGCTGACACCATTATGAAAAGCTGCATCTGCTCCCAGGTTCTTGGCTTATAGTTTACTCACTCACATACTCGCAGCCCTGATCAATAGTCCACACTCAAAACACTTTCAATCAATCAATGAGACACAACCAGTTCTTTAGAATAAACGGAGACCCAATGATTGTTCCCATTGTCAGGAAATTTCTAGTTAGTTCTAGGCTGGATCTCTCCTTGATGAGTTTCTATCCATTACTTCTTGTCCTGCTTTCAAGTGCCTTGGAAAATAGGTTAACCCTCTCATCTCTGCAGCAGCCCCTTAAAATATTGGAACTCTACTCTCATCTCACCCTTAGTCCTTCTCTTTGTTAGACTAGATATGCCCAATTCCTGCAACCATTCTTCGTTAAGTTTTAGCCCCCAGCTCCCTAATCATCTGTGTTGCTCTTCTCTGCCCTGGCTGACATCTCAGGCCATGCTCCTGGCCATTTGCCACACTGGTTATTCTACAGTACTAAAGCAGCTCTTGAACAAACATAAGAAATACTGATAAAAGAGGAACAAGTGGAGGCAGGATTTCTGTATAATTGGAAATGGGGGACTGGTGGTTTCTGGCCTCATCCTGGGAAACAATTATTCTGGCTTTTAGATTGTCTGTTGCTTAATTTTGTTTGGTTTTATTAGTTAGTAAGTTTTGCAAGGTCTAAATAATCTAATTTTTTATTGTATATTGTATACTTGCTGGGTATTCCATTATTTCCTTGGTGTCAGGTTCAATGTTTCTACTCTGAATAGAATTAAATTATTATTCCCTTAATTGTGCTGTACAGTTAATTCTTAAACAAAAATATTGTTCTTTCTTTATTCAGTTTCTACGGCCGTACATTTCAGCCAATGACTTTGGGCTTCTTATTGGCCTATTCATACCCATTGCCTTTCTTCCTTGCCTTCTGGCGTTTTGGTTGCACATATGAAACATCTCCAGAAAGGAACAACAACAACAAAAAACCCTTCACAGAAGGATAATCCAAATAAACACTCCCCGTGCAATTCTTGCAGTATCCAGCCAGCCATAAACACTTCCAACTTCTCCTCTTCCTTTCCATTCTGTGCCAACATCCTATTTTATTTCCCAAAGACATCAGAATGCTGTAGTTAATAAAAATTTGATTAATGATATGGTTCTCTCAAATATCCAGAGGCTTTTGAATTACTCCAAGCGTTTTTCAGCTCCTAAACATAAAAATATGTGACTTCATAATGGATGTGATCAAAAAGTGGCATCAACAAAGAGAAAGAAAGACCAGGAGAATTAAATATAATTTGATTAAAGTTTTAAAACCGTACTTGTTTAAATTTGAAGCCACCTGGAGCTTGAGACTCAGGCCAAATAAGCTTCCTGGTTCCTTCTCACACCTGGCCTGGTCCTTGGGTGTATTTCTGCCAAGGTATTCTATGCAATATGACCTACTAGGAAAACAAGTGTTATATAACATTATCAAAACTTTTGTTAAGGGTTATTTTTCGGTTTGTTGGGGTTTGGCTCCTGGCACCAGTTCGATGGAGCAGTCATTGGGCCTGTGGGGGGGGGTAGGGCATTTAGATCTTGGCATACCTTCGTTATGCCTGTGCCGACATTTTGTAACAATAAATGACTTTTAGGAAAATCAATGCCTGGAAGTTCTTTGAAGTGTTTTATTAGCCGGAACCATAACATCTTTATTATGGTGAAAGACCAGCATTAAGGGTACATTTAGTTTAAAAAAAACATAGAAAATAATCAAAGTCTAAGAATGATTATTATAAACCGCTAAAAGATATAAAAGAGAAAAGTATACATAGAAACAGAAGTTTAAATGGAAATGAAAGGAAAGCTAGGAGAATGAGAGTACAGAGCATAAAGGTTAGTATGGGACAGATTAAATATTTCACTTTATGGAACATGCCATTCGTGGAGCTGGATGCTCATTAAGAGGCTCATTTATACCACAGGTCATCCATCACCTGACGAATTTTAAATACTGCTTCACAGAAACCTGGAAGCATTACACACTGCACCAAGGTTATTATCTGAAAGCAGCAGAGAGGCATAGAAATATCTCGTGAGCCCTGGATATTTATGCAGTAATGGCAAGATAAGCCTGATGCAAACATCTCTGCAATAAAGCCACTGGAGAAGCACATGCTGTTGTTTCACAGAAATTGATTTCCAGGAAAGAGACTCGGCTTTCCAGTTGGTGGGATGGGCCACAGAGCCCCCGAAGGTGGATGGTGGATGGCTAAGCATGTCCATGATGCTGAGCGCCTCCCGCCTCTTGGGAGAAAAAGGGTTTTGTAGTCCTACCTTCACTGTATGCCTGGTTGTGTTGCTCTCTGGGGGTGGCTCCTTTGAGGGCCCCTGAAGACAGGTGGCTTCTAGGCCAAGCTGCATCACTAAGCCTCCTGGCAGGGGAGCCACGACCGGTCTGTTGCTGGGGCTATTAGTGGCCTCCGTGGCGGAGGCAAAGCTAGCCAGGTGCCCTCTTCTGCCAGAAGAGCCTGGAGCATGTGCCCCAGCCGGAGCCCCCTTTCTGGGACAGCTGGAAGATGAGCCCTGGAAGAGAAGCAGCAGCTCCAGACAGGAATCCCTGAGGTCAAGGGAGTCCCCCCCCCCCCGTCGTGCCAGTGTAGCTGGGGGCTGCCAAAAGGGGAAGGGCGTTGCTCCCCTCCAGGAGGGAGGGAATTATGGCCTGGCCGGCCTCCAGTGGTCACTGCTGTCCTCGGGAGCTGCCTTGAGTCCCGCCCTGCACTGCTCCACAGAAACCTGGAAGCATTACACACTGCACCAAGGTTACTATCTGAAAGCAGCAGAGAGGCATAGAAATGTCTCATGAGCCCTGGATATCTATGCAGTAATGGCAAGATAAGCCTGATGCAAACATCTCTGCAATAAAGCCACTGGAGAAGCACATGCTGTTGTTTCACAGAAGGGGAAGTGTGGTGGCCGAGTAGTTAAGACAACGGGCTTGTCAACCAAAAGGTTGGCTGTTTGAGATCTAAATACAGCGTGATGAAGCGAGCTCCCTTTATTTGCCTCAGCTCCTGGCAACCTGGCAGTCGAAAGCAGGTAAATGCAAGTAGATAAATAGATAATACTTCAGTGGGAAGGTAACAGTGTTCTGTGTGCCTTTGGCATATAGTCATGCCAACCACAAGACCATGGCAGAGATAATGCTGGCTTTTTGGCCATGAATCAGAGATCAGCACTATCCTTTAGAGTCAGACACAATTGGCAGGGGAAACCTTGACTTTTTTATCCACAGAAAGGAGGCATTGAATTATAAACTGACCTCTGAATTCTGTTAATGAAAAGAACCAACCTTGAATTCTTTGGTGGCCTTTAAATTCAGCAACCGCAAGATCATTCATCTGCATAGTTAAAATGCTGGCTTAGAAAGTCTGGGGCTGAAATCTGGAGGACACCAAGATAGAAAGCTGAAATTCTGCATGGAGCATTTCTATGATTTATAATGATCAATATGCAAAAATAATGTTTTAAAAAAAGTCGCTTTTGTGCAATTGCACTTTTCTGCAAAATTGATCATCCACTAACCTCTGCTGATAATCATATAGGTAGTTAGCCTTTACCAAAGTAATATTTTCCATTTTTCTCTCCTCCATGTCCAATATTAAGACACGATTCACTAAAGAGAATAAGGCCACAAATTAAATTAATTTCTAAACTGCATTCCTAATGGGAAATCAGAAATTCAAGCCTTTTCTACACTTATTACTGTCTGCCTCATGTGGACTTTCTTGTGTGCAGTAAGAGAGGAATAATGTGTGAAGCACCGTCCACACTCTGGACATCTGAATGGTTTCTCCCCTGTATGTAAACCTAAATGATTTATAAGTTTAGATCTAGTACTGAAACCCTTCCCACATTCTGGACACTCATACGGTTTTTCTCCTGTGTGAGTCCTATGGTGTACTACCAGATGGGAATTCTGACTGAAGCCTTTCCCACAATCAGGACACTCATATGGTTTCTCTCCTGTATGAGTCCTCTGGTGTATCATCAGCTCAGAATTCCGATTGAAAGTTTTCCTGCATTCCAAACACTCATATGATTTCTCTCCTGTGTGAGTCCTCTGGTGTATCGCCAGGTAGGAACTGCGGTTGAAATTTTTCCCACAATCCAGACACTCATAAGGTTTCTCTCCAGTGTGAGTTCTCTGGTGTATCACCAGGCCAGAATTCCGACTGAAACTTTTTCCACAATCCAGACACTCATATGGTTTCTCTCCTGTGTGACTCCTCTGGTGTAGCACAAGGTGGGAATTCCGACTGAAACTTTTCCCACAATCTAGACAATCATAAGGTTTCTCCCCAGTATGAGTCCTTTGGTGTGCCACAAGGTCGGAATTCCGACTGAAACATTTCCCACAACCTGGACACTCATATGGTTTCTCCCCAGTATGAGTCCTCTGGTGTAGTACCAGAGCATAATTCCGACTAAAACTTTTCCCACAATCAGGACACTCATACGGTTTCTCCCCAGTGTGAATCCTCTTATGTATGACTAGGTCGGAATTCTGAATGAAACTTTTTCCGCAATCTGGACACTCATATGGTCTTTCTCCTGTGTGTGTCCTCTGATGTACGACCAAGTCAGAATTCTGACTGAAACTTTTCCCACAGTCTGGACACTCATATGGTTTCTGTCCTGTGTGCATCCTCAGGTGTATCACCAGATTGGAATTCTGACTGAAACTTTTCCCACAGTCTGGACACTCATATGGTTTCTCTCCTGTGTGAGTCCTCTGGTGTATCGTCAGGTTGGAATTCCGACTAAATCTTTTTCCACAATCTGGACACTCATATGGTTTCTCTCCTGTGTGAGTCCTCTGGTGTAACACCAGGTGAGAATTCCGACTGAAAGTTTTCCCACAATCTAGGCACCCATATGGTTTCTCCCCCATGTGGGTCCTCTTGTGTATCACATTTCCTAAAGTTATTTGCCACATTAAGGGCAGTGGGTGGCTTTTCTTCAGCGTGGGTCCTTTCATGCATAATAAGCTGTTGCTTTGCAATCTGTGCTTTTCCCTACAATGCACAAATTGTAGGGTTTTTCCACCAATGATATTTTTGGATTTTCAAGTTCAAAAATATTTTGGATCTCTTCTTGGATGGTGCTTTGAAACTACTCTTACTTTCTTCATAGGGTGAATGCCTGCCTGTCCTATGTGACTATCTAGTGACCATTTCCTTCCGTCCTGATTTCCAGATTACTTCCCCTTTTTCTGAATTTGAAAATAATCCCCCTTGACCTTTTTCTGGAGTGTTTGCTTGAATTCTGCATGCTCAGTTTTTTTTCAATTCTTATTCTCCATCTTATTCTCTCTTTTGTCTGTCACCTGTCTGGAGAAGAAGAAGACTTTTGTAGTTTTCTTCTGGAGGAAGCAAAAAAGAATGTCATAGTTGGCTGGATATGATTTCCTTTTAATATTGCTTGTGATTCACACGTGTCTGGAATTCTCTTCCCAGTGCCCTCTTGGTCTACAAGATTGACATAAAAGTTTAGTTTAATGGTTGTTTATAAAATGGCTGCAGAACATGTGAAAACAGCAAGAGGAAAAAGCATGCATTACAATAAAAAAGCAAACACGGCAAAGTGCTAGATTAACCTCTAACATTAACTATGATTTATTTGATGTATAGAAGACTGGTAAGATCCAAGTTCAAATATCCACATTAAATTCTCTTCTGGACTTCGGTAAATCACAAATTCTTATCATTACAAAGTGTTATTTTCAAATATATCAGGAAATGCTGAGGCTAGATTATACAGATATGCATACGAGAGACAAATGTAGATAGACACACCTTTGAATATATGTCTGTTCCAGAAGTGGGTATGCTCAAACATTTGGGTCTAATTTTAGAGAGAGCAGGGCTTCAACAGAGGAGAGGCTTCAACCGAAGAAATGGTGCTCAAAGCGTTTGCAAGATATTATCTCCAGTTTTGTGCATGAAACTCCCCAGTTCCCAAGAAAACAACACATCCATAAAATCAAAGTGTCCACCCTAAACTGAAGGAGACTTTTTAAATCTCCCAACCAGCAGAAAATTGCAGGCACCACTTTTAAAGCGACCAGCACCACTGAAATAAAATTTGGGGTGGGAAAGAACATGCAGCAGCAACATACAACATGTTCTACAGGGGGACAATCGAGAGCATCCTGTCATACAGCATCACAGTCTGGTTTGGAGGCATCACTGCTTCAGACAGGAAGGCGGTGCAGAGTGGTTAGGGTGGCCAAAAAGATCATTGGCAATTCCCTCCCTCCCAGGACACAGCATAGAAGCGCTGCTTGAGCAGGGTCCGTAACATTATCTGGGACACTACACATCCTCTTCACGACCTTATTTTCCTTGTTAGCTTCTGGGAGGAGGCTTCGTGGTATCCGAAGCAGAACATCCAGATTCAGCCAGAGTTTCATTCCATACAGCATATACCTTGCAAACTCTCAAGCTTCCTCCTTCCCTTATATATTCAAGATGGACAATATTTAATATTTATTTGCTACGTATATGTAGGGATGTGGGTCTATACATATGTTGTTCATAGTATGTTTAGGTGTGTGTCATGTATGTGTTTCACTTTGAGAGCGGGCAACTAAATTTCATTTTTGATGTGTCCCATTGTGCCCACAGTATAAAAATGACAATAAAGGTTATCTCATCTCTCTTCTCTTATCTTCAGTCTCTGGTTTCTACCCTCTTTCTGCAGCTTGGAGGAAATCAAACAGCCCTACTTGCTCCCGGCCTCTCCTCCGACCTGTCCTCAACTCACCTTCCAGCTGCTGCAGTCCTGGGAAGAGCAGGACAGCAGCCCTCCATTCTACCATCCTCCCGTAGGTCAGCCGGAAAAGGAAATTCCTGTGTTCTTCTCCTCTCTTCCACATCCTCTCTAGAAATCCAGTACTCGATTGTTTCAACACCTTTCGACTCTGTCGCTCCCCCTCCCGTTGGATTTCAGTACTCAGCAACCATCGATGCCGCTACTGTACTGACGGCTTTCTAGACGCCGGGGGTTACTCATATTTAATAGAGCGCGCGCCATCTAGCGACAAAGGGCTGACTTACAGGCTTCTGACGTTTGCAAGATTTTTGATTGATTACTATATGCTACATCAATGCACTCGTACCTACTGTAACTGAAGCAAGAACTAAATCAAGGGAAAGCATCCTTTGGGGAGAGTAGGTGGGACAGAGACGATGGAGATGCCGGCCCAACTAGACTCAGGAGACCCCAGTTCAGCAGTTGGCTATAATCTCTGTTGCATGAAGGAATCTGAATGAAAACAACACCAACATAGTCTTGATTTTTTTTCTTTCGGGAACTCAAGGTGGCACAGAAAGCACTTCCTAGATAGCAGCCAAAAAAGAGGTTGATTTTAATCTCCCCTACCTGCCTATCTACCTTCATGGGCATACTTTTTTACTGTAAATTGGCATCTCAGTATTCCATAGCTCCTGAAATACCTTCATGCTTGACCTAACACCAAACTGGAACTTCTTGCAGTCTTAATCCCCATGTCCCTTATGTCCAATGTTTGTTTTTGGCACCTTCCAAACAGACTGGTTTCTCTGCAGTTTCCTTGGCAAGGGTTTTTGAAGCAGTCTCCCCCTTTCCTGCTTCCTAGCCCTGAGAGAGGGACTAGGTTTCATGCCTATGGCAGAACTGGAACTGAGCATCTCCCAGTCTGCAAATTGCAGCTTTAACCACTACACCAAACTGGCTCTTCTTACTCCTCACAAAACCTACTCACTCAGCTGTTCCTGTGGCTGCAGTCTTTCAAGATCTAGTACAACATCTTTGCAATTGAGTTCTCATTATTCTCCAGAAAAAGGACCTTTTTTGTCTTAAATCGGAGCTTCAAATTTTTCTTCTGAGGAACTGGAGCCTCTCCAACTGGAGATAGGTGGCTTCTGGCCTGTCCAGAAGAAATAACTCCTTTCGCTATGAGATTGCCTGTTGAAGAATTTTACTTGATTTTGTGTTATGTAGGTGATAGGTAGGTAGGTAGGTAGGTAGGTAGGTAGGTAGGTAGGTAGGTAGGTAGGTAGGTAGATGATAGATAGATAGATAGATAGATAGATAGATAGATAGATAGATAGATAGATAGATAGATAGATAGAGATAGATAGAGTTTGTAGGTTTTATGGGGTCTAATTAATCTATTTGTTTACTGTAAAGGAGTTACTTGTTGGGAATTCCACTGTTCCTTTTGTATCAGTCTATGTTGAATGTTTGTGTAATGGGATTCAATTACTATTCCTTTATTTCTGCTCCACAATTAATTCTTAAGCTTGGCATAAATTGTTAGTCCTCCCCTCACCGTCATACCCATTGCTCCTCTTTCTTACCATCTATATGTATGTATGAGACATGTTGCAAAAGAAAAAGAAATGGAAGCTTTACAGAATCAAAAAAATAGACTCTTTGCAAGGAACTCATGCAGTAGCCAGCAAGCCACAAATTCTTCCAACTTCTTCGCTTCCATTTCCTCTGAGCTAATATCCCATTTTGTTCCCCAAATATATTGTAGAGCAGCGGTTCTCAACCTGTGGGTCGCGACCCCATTTGGGGTCGAACGACCATTTCACGGGGGTCGCCAAACGCAGTCCGCCATTTTTTTCCCCTTTTCCTTAGCTGTGCTACTCCCTTTTATTCTATTGGCTTTTGAAAGCCAATAGAATAGACTCTCTTGAATGGAGTCTAATTCTATTGGCTTTCAAAAGCCAATAGGAATTGTCCAGGCTGTTTCTGCCCTGCTGAGCCCGCCAAAAGTCCCATTCTGCAAACGGTGCTGCAAGTTGTCTGCAGCGAAGACAAGCTGCCTGGAAGCTTCCACTCCTCCCTGCTGAGAAACTACTAAAAATGTAAGTAAAAGAGGGCCAGGGGTGGGAAGTGGGAGGCCGGCGGGCGCAGGGAGGGTTGCTGGCGTGCGTGGGGCCCAGGGGGGGGGTGCCTTACCTCCCTTGGGCTGGGCCAGCTGGTGGCCCAGCCAGTGGTTGCCCTGCGCCATCGCTGCCCCTTGCCAGCTACGCCTCAGCCAGCGCAGGGGGCGGCACCATGCATGCGCGGCGCTCCCAGGCAGGGAAAGTCCTCGACTTATTACTGGCTTGGTAGTCCTCAACTTACGACCGGTTGGGTAGTCCTCGACTTACGACTGGTTGGGGTCGCAGCATTAAAAAGGTTGAGAACCACTCTTGTAGAGGTTGTATCATGGAATGATCCTCTCACAAGAGCCAGAGGTTTTTGAGCTATTTCAAGCATTTTCCGGGCCTAAGTATGATAAAATGTCATAACCGATCTGTCCAAAAGTGATACTAAAAAGAGAGAATTAAATACATTATGATGTGAATAAAAAATAATTTGTTTTAAGGTTTAAAATCTTTATTACAGACAAAGACCACCATAATGAATGTGGGGTGTATTTAGCTAAAAAAATACAGAAATCAAAGTGTAGTAATAGTAATTATACTAAAAAAACAAAAGACATAAAAGACAGAGTACATATAACAACAGGAATCTAAATGAAACTGTTAAGGCAGGGGTGTCAAACTGCCAGCCCACAGGCCGGATGCGTCATGGTGAAACCGCGCCCACCACATTGCCAGCAATGGAAAAAAAGTCACAATACGTTGCGACATGTCACATGACCGTTGCGAGGTTGACACCCCCGTGTTAAGGTATTTAAATTTAGTAGCTGGAGCAGTGAGGTTGTGCAGTGAGCCAGAACAGTTGTGGTTGATTGGTGGATCCTGCATGAGGCAATCTGCGCTGTGATTGGTTGCTGTGGGTGTGGAGGGGGAATTTCCCTGTTTTCCAGTCTTTTTCTTCTGTGCGCTTTGTATGCTGTTCCGTGATCTACCTGATGAGGCTCCTGTTTGCCTGACTTATCTAGGTTGCTGTATACATAGTTGTAAAATAGATTTACATATAGAAATACAAGTTCATGTCAGCATTTATGACTTCATTTGGACACCTGCTGCGCAATACCGTCAGGAACTAAGCAGACAGTAAGGCATAAGATGCCTGTAGCTCCATGAAGTTTAGTATGTGGCAAACTAAATCTATTACTCTACAGAGCAAATTGTAGGATGAGCTGGATGCTCCTTAAGACTAGTTTATGGCACAAGCCATCCATCATCTGACCAATTCTTATTGCTGCTCTGCAATGCTTGGCAACATTATACTGTATTTTGTACCAGGGTGTCTATCTGAAAGAACCAGAGAGTATAGAATTGTCCTGTGCATCCTGACTATTTATGCAGTGTTGGAGAAACAAGCCTGGTACAAACATCGCTGTGTTAAAGTCACTGGAGAAGCACATGATTTGTTGTTTCTGTGTGTCCACAACCACAGGGGCATTGTATTATAACCTGAACTGTACTACTGAAATAAGCAACCCTTGAATTCTTTGGCGTCTTCTAAATTCAGGAAAACATTTAGCAATTTCCACTGCTATCACCCACCAGCATTCAAAGGATAACAAGAGGCACACACACCCCAAGCAAAGTAGATCACAGCAGCAGTTGGTAGAAAACCTGAAGATCCTACATTCAAAAACTACATCCATTTTTTCTCTATAATAACAGGACCTGTTTGATCTTCCACATGGTGCAGGGTAGTTAAAGGGTAGTTAAAGTCCCCCTTTACTATTGTGATATACTTCCTACATACTTTAGTTAACTAAGTAGCAAAAAGTTCATCTATTTTCTCCGTTTGGTTGGGTGACCTATGGTATACACCTATGGCAATGTCATTTCCCCCCCTTTTATATTGGCCCAAATACATTCAGGATAGTTTTCATCATTGTTGTACTCTATTTCTGTAGAGATGTAGTTATTTCTTATATATAGTGCAACTCCACCTCCTCTTTTATTTTGGTCCGTTTCTTTTAAATAATTTAAATAGCTGTGTGATCCATTTGTGGTTTCATCCCACCAAGTTTCCCTAATGGCAACAACATATCTGCTTTCATTTACTTGTATTTCTAATTCACCCTGTTTATTGTTCATACTCTGCACATTGGTGTACAGACATTTGAGTCCTTTTTGACTGAACCTGTGTTTACTTTCCACATAACCTGTATAGAAATATTCTATATCAGTGGTTCTCAACCTTTTTAATGCCGCGACCCCCAACCGGTCGTAAGTCGAGGACTACTCAACCGGTCGTAAGTCAAGGACTACTCAACTGGTGCAGCACCGTTTGCGGAATGGGACGTTTGGCGGGCTCAGCAGGGCAGAGACAGCCTGGACAATTCCCATTGGCTTTTGAAAGCCAATAGAATTAGACTCTATTCAAGAGAGTCTATTCTATTGGCTTTCAAAAGCCAATAGAATAAAAGGGAGTAGCACAGCTAAGGAAAAGGGGAAAAAATGGCGGACTGCGTTGTTTGGCGACCCCCATGAAATGGTCATTCGACCCCAAATGGGGTCCTGACCCACAGGTTGAGAACCACTGTTCTATATTAATTAACTCACTCTCCCCGTTTAGTTTAAATGTTTCTCCAGAAAATCTGTAAATTTAATGCCAAGCCAAGTAACTCAGTCCCTTTCTTTGACAGATGCAGACCATCTCTTTTTCATTGGACCAGCTGCAGACATCGTGCCTAATATAACTAAAGCCTTCCCACTTACACTTTAGTCACACATGAACTCTGCTATACGCTGGCCTTTCCCTTTTTTTGTTCCTTATATACTGGTAAAACCTCTATCCTACCAAGTTCCTGCCCCAAGCTCTGGAAATCATTCTGCACAGAGAGTACATCTTTTTGGGACAGATCATTTGTGCCAAGATGTACAATAGCATCAACATCACAGTCCTTACTGGAATTCTTGACTATCTTAAAAATATGCCTCTTGTCTCTGCACCTGACAGACACCTGACCTCTTTCAAAACCTCCATATCATTTCCTAAATTTACATCCAGCAGTATTTGCATATCATGTTCAGCAACCTTTACATGTGAAATTTTCTTCTCCCCGCCCCAAATCTCCCTCATAGGTTCTCCATTCTGTGCTTCACTGTTCACAATCTGAACAGGAATACTTCCTGTCCTGAATTTCTGAAAATGTTAGGAAAAGATGAACTCTGAACCCTTCTTACTTCTCTTCTCCTGTCACCTCATATTTGAGGAGCTCCAATAGGTAAGTAAATCAGAGGGCTCCTATTTCCTAATATATTTTATCAGGACGTAAAAAAAACTGTATGTTATTTTTCTATGATCTCTATTGTTCAAAATGCAAAAAACAACCCCCAAAGCCTTTGGGCAGAAATTGTGCTTTTTGCAAAAAGAAATACCCACTACATTTTTGCTGATAGACAGACACAGGTCGTTAACCTTGATCAAGCTATCATTTTCCATGTTCATTTCTTTCTCTCCTCCGTCATGCCTAAGTACTGAGGACATGTAAGGCTAAACAAAATCAGGTCAGAAATTAAATACTTAATTTCTCAGCTGAACTTGCAAAGGCAGATAAGAAATTCAAGCCTTCTCTTTACTCATCATCTTCTGGGTCGTGTGGATTTTCTTATGTTTAATAAGAGAGGAGGTTTGCGAGAAGCACCGTCCGCACTCTGGGCACTTGAAAGGTTTCTCACCTGTGTGCAAACCTACATGATTTATAAGATTAGTCCTAGTACTGAAATCTTTCCCACAATCAGGACACTCATATGGCTTCTCCCCTGTGTGAGTCCTCTGGTGTATCACCAGGCCAGAATACCAACTGAAACATTTTCCACAGACCAGGCACTCATACGGTTTCTCCCCTGTGTGAGTCCTCTGGTGTATTATCAGATTGGAATTCTGATTGAAACTTTTCCCACAATCTGGACACTCATAGGGTTTCTCCCCAGTGTGAGTCTTCTTGTGTTTCACAAGGTTGGAATTATTACTGAAAGTTTTCCCACAATCAGGACATTCAAAGGGTTTCTCTCCTGTGTGAGTCCTCTGATGTATCTTCAGGTTGGAATTACGAAAGAAATATTTCCCACAATATGGACACTTGTACCGGTTCTCCCGAGTATGAGTCCTCAGGTGTTTAACAAGGTTCGAATTCTGACTGAAACCTTTCCCGCAATTGGGACATTCATACGGTTTCTCTCCTGTGTGAATCCTCTGGTGTGTCATCAGGTTGGAATTATGACTGAAACCTTTCCCACAATCTGGACACTCATACGGTTTCTCCCCTCTGTGTGTCCTCTGGTGTTTCACAAGGTTGGAATTATTACTGAAACCTTTCCCACAATCTGGACATTCGTATGGTTTTTCTCCGGTGTGAATTCTCTGGTGTATCGCAAGGGCAGAATTATGACTGAAACTTTTCCCACAATCAGGACACTCGTATGGTTTATCTCCTGTGTGAGTACTCTGGTGTATCATCAGGTTGGATTTGTGACTGAAACCTTTCCCACAGTCTGAACATTCATAAACTTTCCCCCCTGTGTGAGTCCTCTGGTGTATCATCAGGGTGGAATTATGACTGAAACTTTTCCCACAGTCTGGACACTCATACACTTTCTCTCCTGTGTGAGTCCTCAGATGATTCACAAGGTTGGTTTTACGACTGAAAGTCTTCCCACAGTTGGAACACTCATATGGTTTCTCTCCTGTGTGAGTCCTTTGATGTATCACCAGGCTGGAACTGTGATTGAAACCTTTCCCACAATCTGGACATTCATACACTTTCTCCACTCTGTGTGTCCTTTGGTGTATCACCAGGTGGGAATTCCGACTGAAACTTTTCCCACAATCTGGACACTCATAAGGTTTCTCCCCTGTGTGTGTCCTCTGGTGTGTCACCAGGTGGGAATTCTGACTGAAGCCTTTCCCACAATCTGGACAGACATAGGGTTTCTCTCCTGTGTGTGTCCTCTGGTGTGTCACCAGGTGAGAATTCCGATTGAAAGCTTTCCCACAATCAGAACACCCATATGACTTCTCCCCCATTTCAGTCCTCTTTTGTAACACTAGGGTAGCATGTTTCCTAAAGGTTGTGCCACATTGAGGACAGAGGGTGGTCTTTTCTTCATATGCACATCGGTGGGGCTTTTCAACCTATAACTTTATTGGATTCTCAAGGTCAAAGATATTTTGGATCCCTTCTTGGATGGGTGCTTTCATTCAAGCTATTCTTTCCTCACAGGGCAAGGCTTGCATGACTATCTATCCTATGTGATTATACAAGTGATCTCTTCCTCCTCACTGATTTCCAGATTATTTCCCTTTTTCTGTATTTGCAAATTATCCCCCTTGACTTTTTTCTGGAGTGTTTCCTTTGAGTTCTACATACTCAGTTTTTTCCAGCTCAAACTTCTCTTCCTATTATTCTCTCTTTTGTCTCTCACCTTTCTCATGAAGGAGAAGAATTTTGTAGTTTTCGGAGGAGTTGGAAAAAACTTTCATTGCTGGCTGGATTTGCTTTCCTTTTTAATGCTGCTTGTGATTCTCACTTGTCCGGAATTCTCTTCCTGGCATCCTATTTGTCTATAAAATGGACATAAACCCTTAGTTTAATGGTTGTTTATAAAGTTGCTGCAGAAGATGTTAAAATAGCAAGAGAAAAAGCATGCATTATAATGAAAAAGCAAGCATGCTAAAATGCTACTTTAACCTCTAACATTAACTATGATTCATTTGATGTATAGAAGATTAGCGAGATCCATATTCAAATATCAACACAAACATTAAATTCCCTTCTGGACTTCAGCAAATCACAAACTCTTAGCACTACAAACTGTTATTTTCAAATATACAGAAAATACTGAGGATAAATTATACAGATTTGCAATAGATAAAAGATTTCCCTATCAGTCATATCTGACTCTAGGACATGGAGCTCATCTCCATTGTCATAGGTGTATACTACAGGCCATCCAACGAAGTAGGAGAAATAGATGAACTTTTCGCTAACCAGTTAACAAATGTATTTCAGAAACACTCCATAATAGTAATGAGGGACTTTAATTAGCCTGACATCAACTGGGTGACAAACTCTGCATCAGGTGGGAAATTGAACAAGTTCCTGACCAACTTAGCTGACAATTTTTGTCATCCAAAAGGTGGAGGAGGGAACTAGCTGGACAGCTATACTGGACCTAATTTTCACTAACACAAAAGAAGTGAAAGAGGGGGTTTAAAGTTGCTGCACCCTTGGGGGAGAGTGACCTTGTCATATTGGAATTCAATATAATGCAGACACAAACGACAGAACATAATCACACCAGTGTCTTAGACTTCAAAGGAGCCAGTTTTAACAAACTTAGAGAGAGCTTGGGAAGGATTCCATGGATGAAAATCTTAAAGAGAAAAACCACTCAACAAAGTTGGGAAACTGTGAGAAATATGATTATAAAAGCCCAGTCCAGCTCAATACCACTGAATAAGAAAAAAAAAATCCAAGAAGAAACCAGCATAGTTACACAAAGAATTCTTTGATAAATTGAAAGACAAAAAGGATAAATACAAATAGTGGAAAGAGGGACATAAAACTAAGGCAGAGTTCAAACAAATAGCCTTGCAAAGATGAAATCAGAAAAGCTAAGGCTCAGAAGGAAAGAAGTCTTGAAACAAATGTCAAAAATAATTTTAAAAGTTTATTTCAACATATAAAAAAACAAGAAAAAAGTCAAGAAAATAATCGGTCCACTAATGAGAGAAGATGGCAAGGAAGTAACAGGCAATAAAGAGAAAGCAGAGCTACTCAATTCATTTTTGGTCATTGTATTATAAAAACAATGTAGAGACTCTGGAAAGAGTGCAGAAAAGAGCAATAAAGATTATTAGGTGGCTGGAGGCTAAAACACATGAAGAATGATTGCAGGAATTAGGTTTGTCTAGTTTAGAGACTAGACAAACCCAATTCCTGCAATTGCCCTCAATCTGGGAAAAATTGAGGGCAATAGAAGGGGACGACAGAGAATGAGGTGCCTGAATGGAGTGAGCTTAAATAGACTCCAGAAGATGGCAGAGGACAGGAAGGTCTGGAGGAATGTTGTCCATGGGATTGTGATGGATCAGACACGACTTCGCAACTAACAACAAGTCTAGAGAAAAGAAGGACTAGGTGTGATATAATAGCACTGATCCAATATCTGGGGGGATGTCACAAACAAGAGGGGGTCAACGTATATTCCAAAGGACCAAAAGGGAAGGCAAGAAACAATGGATGAAAAATGATCAAGGAGAGAAGCAACTTAGAACCAAGGAGAAATTTCCTAACAATAAGAACAATCAACCAGTGGAATGGCTTGTGGGTGCTCCATCATTGGAGGCTTTTAAGAAGAGACTGGACAGCCACTTGCCTGGAATGGCATAGGGTCTCTTGCTTGAACAGGGGGTTGGACTAGAAGACCTTCGAGGTCCCTTCCAACTGTACTATTCTGTTATTCTGTTCTTTTGTTTCTTGGTCCAGGGAGCCAACATTGTCCGAAGATAATTTCAGTGGTTCTGTGGCCAGCGTGACTCTACGCCAGTGGTTCTCAACCTTTTTAATGCCGCGACCCCCAACCGGTCGTAAGTCGAGGACTACTCAACCGGTCATAAGTCGAGGACTACTCAACTGGTGCAGCACCGTTTGCAGAATGGGACTTTTGGCGGGCTCAGCAGGGCAGAGACAGCTGGACAATTCCTATTGGCTTTTGAAAGCCAATAGAATTAGACTCTATTCAAGAGAGTCTATTCTATTGGCTTTCAAAAGCCAATAGAATAAAAGGGAGTAGCACAGCTAAGGAAAAGGGGGAAAAAATGGCGGACTGCGTTGTTGGGCGACCCCCGTGAAATGGTCGTTCGACCCCAAATGGGGTCCCGACCAACAGGTTGAGAACCACTGCTCTACACCAGAGGCACATGGAACTCTATTACCTTCCCACCAAACTGGTACCTATTAATCAATTTGCATTTGCATGCTTTCAAACTGCTAGGTTGGCAGGGGCAGGGAAAGTAATGGGAGCTCACCCTGATGTATGGAGCTCGGGCCTTGAAGCCGTCATCAGCCCTCCAGCTGAAAAGCTCAGGATCTTTTACCACTGAGTCATTGCACTCCATGCAGATATGCATTCAAACAAATATAAACACACTTACCAAAGCATGTTGAAAAGTCCATGTATAGTTTAGGCGAAAACATATCCCAGAAGTGGGTACGCTCAAACTTTTTAGTCTAATTTTAGAGGAAGAGAGGGCTTCAATAGATGAGGGGCTTCAACCGATGAAAAAGTGCTGAAAGCATCTGCAAGATATAACGCCCAGTGTTGTGCATGAAACTCCTGAGTTTCCAAGAAAACAATAAAATCATAAAAATCACTTACGAGTCAACCCTAAACTGAAGGAGATTTTTTAAATCTCCCTACCAACAGAAAATTGCAGGCACCACTTTTAAAGCGACCAGCACCATTGGAATAAAACTTGGGGTGGGAAGGAACATGCAGCAGCAACGTGTCTCTGGTTTCTTCTCTTCTTCTATACTATGGAGGAAACCAAACAGCCCTACTTGCTCCCGGCTTCTTCTCCGACCTGCCCTCAACTCACCTTCCAGCTGCTGTTTGACCCTGGGAAGACCAGGAGAGCTACCCTCCACGCCTCCATCCTCCCACGGATGAGCCGGAAGAGGAGATTCCTCTGTTCTCCTCTCTAGAAATCCAATACTCGATGGTTTCAACACCTTTCAGTTCTGTCGCTCCCCCTCCCGTTGGATGTCAGCACTCAACAACCATCGATGCCGCTACTGTATTGACGACTTTCTAGGCGGCGGGTGTTATTTATTTTATCGAGCGCCATCTAGCGACATAAAGGCTGAAAATCTATTCTTTGCAAGATTTTGCTCGATTATTGTATGCGCCGTTAAGTGATTTCGAAACCACCGACCACATCGATAATATAACTTTTAATCGATCTCTAAACTGTGCTTTCGGGTCTCCCAGGGATGCTCTCACAGCTAGTATAACTGACCCAGCGGCTTTGCGTGCAAGAATTTAAATCAACATGGGGGGGGGGGGGGGACAGAAAACGATGTGCACACAAACAGCACCAAATGCACATCATTCGTGGATTGGTGACTTCTGTTCCATCCAGGTATGGGGGGGGGCATAACTGGGGGTAAAGGATAACTCCTCAAAACCTAACTTTGCAAACTAAGGGAAGCTTGAAAAGTGAAGCTGTAAATGATTGCCAGCTTCATCCTATTAATAGACGAAACCTGGGACAAACCTGTAAGCATCCATCTGCATTGCCTCCGAAACACATTTACCTAGGATAGTGTTTCTCAACCTTGACCATTTTAAGGCATGAGGACTTCAACTCCCAGAATTCCACAGCCAGCAATGCTGGCTGTGGAATTCTGGGAGTTGAAGTCCACATGCCTTAAAATGGTCGAGGTTGAGAAACACTGACCTAGGACGAATTTAGGGTTTACCGCTGAACATTCCTCTCCGTATTGTTGGGGAGCCTAAATCCCACTAGAGGGTAGAATTGCTCTGAGCAGCCTTCCAAATCTCCAGAGGAGTTAAATTTGCAGCCTTATTATTCTCAAGCAACTTGGGCTAAAAACTTGGAGGAAACTAATTTGCAGAAAGATGATCTAAAGATTGTTGTGCCTTCAGAGAGGTGGTTCTGGCCAGAGATCATGTCCTATCTATATAGAAGATTAGTGAGATCCAAGTTCAAATATCCAACAAACATTAAATTCCCTTCTGCACTTTAGTAAATCACAAACTCTTAGCATTACAAACTGTTATTTTCTCCCATTTTGTTCCCCAAGGACATCAGAATGTTGTAGCAACTAAGAGTTTGCATTACAGAGTGATCCTCTTAAAGATCCAGAGGCTTTTGATCTATTTCAGTGCCTAAAGCATATAAAAAAAGTAAAAGATGTGTTCAAAGATGACACTAAAAGGAGAGAAATATGTCAAAAATTAAAACTAATTGGATTATTTTACAATTTAAAATCTTTATTATAGCGAAGTACCAGCCTAACAAACATAGGGTGTACTTAGCTAAAAACTATAGAAAGTAATCAAAGTCTAAAAAATAATAAGTATACTAAAAAACAAAAGACATAAATGACAGAGTATATTAAAAAGCAGAAGTCTAAATGGAACTAAGAGAACAGTAGTTTATGCAGTACAGGAGAGATGAACCTGGTACAAATGTCTCTGTAATACAGTCACTGGAGAAGCAAGTGCTCCATTGTTTATGTGTCCAGAGTCACTGGGAGTGCTATTATAACCAGAATTGTGTTACTGAAATGAACAATCCTTGATTTATTTGATGTCAAGTAAACTCAGCAAAAATGTATCACCTTCCACTGCTATCACCTACCAGAATTCAAAGGCTAACAAGAGGCACCTCAAAGCAAAGAAGATCATAGCAAGAGTTGCTAGGAAACCTGGAGAACCTACGCTCAAAACTCACATCCCTTTTTTCCTCTATAACAGTGATGGCGAATCTTTTAGAGACCCAGTGCCCAAACTGCAACCCAAAACCCATTTATTTATCACCGGGTGCTGGGTGGTCATGGCAGACTGGGTGGGAAGGGCCAAGGTGGTGGGGTCCAGTCCCTCGCTATCTCCAGGGCACGGTACGTGTGCCCACAGAGAGGGCTCCGAGTGCCGCCTCTGGCACCCGTGCCATAGGTTCGCCACCACTGCTCTATAATATTCCAATAGTGTCTGCATATCATGTTCAACAATCTTTACATGTGAAATTTTTGTGCTTTTCTCACTGCCCCAAACCTCCCTCATGTGTTCTCCATTGTGTGCTTCACTGTTCTTCTTTCACTCTGCACAAACTGAACAGGGATTCTTCTTGCACTGAAAATGTTTTTAAGAATGAACTCTGAATTCTCTTTACCTCTCCTCTCTGATCATCTCACATTTGAGCAGCTAAATCAGTAAGTCAGAGAGCTCCTATCTTTTATTTTTTAGCATCTGCAGATTTCTGAAACTCTGTATGTTGCTTTTCTATGAACTCTTGTTGTTAAACATGCAAAAACTATAACCCCCAATCCTTTTTGCAGCAATTGTACTATTTTTTCACAAGAGAATATCCACTACGTTCTGCTGATAGCCAGACGCAAGTAGTTAACCTTGATCAAGCTAACATTTCCCATTTTCATTTCTTTTCTCTCCTCCCTCATGCCTAACACTGAAACATGTTTCACTAAACTGAATGAGACCAGAAATTAAATAATTTCTCAGCTACATTTGCAAAGGCAGCTCAGAAAAGAAATTCAAGATTTCTCTTCACTCATTACCTTCTGCCTCATGTGGATTTTTTTATGCTTATTAAGGGAGGCCGTTTGTGAGAAGCACTTTCCACAATCTGGGCATTTGAAAGGCTTCTCCCCTGTATGTAAACCTACATGATTGATCAAGATAGACCTAGCACTGAAACCTTTCCCACAGTCCGGACACTCATATGGTTTCTCCCCTGTGTGAGTCCTCTGATGCATCACAAGGCTAGAATTCCAACTGAAACATTTAGCACAATCTGGACACTTGTACGGTTTCTCCCCAGTGTGAATCCTCTGGTGCATTAGCAGGGCAGAATTCCGAATGAAACCTTTCCCACAGTCCAGACACTTGTATGGTATCTCTCCAGTATGATTCTTCTGGTGGTTCAGGAGGTCAGAATTATGACTGAAAACTTTCTCACAATCGGGACACTCATATGGTTTCTCTCCTGTGTGAGTCCTCAGGTGTTTCATCAAATGGGAATTGCAAAAGAAACCTCTCCCACAATCTGGACACACATACGGTTTCTCTCCTCTGTGAGTCTTCTGGTGTATCACAAAATTGGAATTATCACTGAATTTTTTCCCACAATCCTGACACTCATACGGTTTCTCTCCTGTGTGAATCCTCTGGTGTGTCACCAGGTGGGAATTCTGACTGAAGCCTTTCCCACAATCTGGACACTCATAAGGTTTCTCTCCTGTGTGGGTCCTCTGGTGTTGCACAAGATGAGAATTCCGATTGAAAGTTTTCCCACAATCAGAACACCCATATGATTTCTTCCCCATTTCAGTCCTTTTTTGTTTTAGTAGGAGTGGTGGGATTCAAAGATGTGAACAATCAGTTTTGTGTGTATGCCGCTTCCGAGAGTCCATTCTGGGCGTGGCAACAAAAAATTAGCTACCAGTTCAGCTAACGTGGTGTGAACCGGCTGAATCCCACCACTGATTATTACGGTAGCGTGTTTCCTAAAGCCTGTGCCACATTGAGGACAGAGGGTGGGCTTTTCTTCAGAGCGGTTCCTTTAGTGTATAATCAGGTGTGATCTACAATCTGTGCTTTTCCCACAATATGCACACTGGTGGGGCTGTTCAACCTATAACATTATTGGATTTTCAAGGTCAAAAATATGTTGGATACCTTCTTGGATGGGTGCTTTCATTCAAGCTGTTCTTTCCTCATAGGGCAAGGCTTGCATGACTGTCTATCCTATGTGATTATACAAGTGACCCCTTCCTCCTCACTGATTTCCAGATTATTTCCCTTTTTCTGTATTTGCAAATTCTCCCCCTTGACTTTTTTCTGGAGTGTTTGCTTCAGCTCTACATACTCAGTTTTTTCCAGCTCAAAATTCTCTTCCTATTATTCTCTCTTTTGTCTGTCAGCTTCCTGATGAAGGAGAAGAATTTTGTAGTTTTCAGAGGAGTAGGAAAAGATTTTCATTGCTGGCTGGATTTGCTTTCCTTTTTAATGCTGCTTGTAATTCTCACTTGTCCAGAATTTTCTTCCTGGCATTCTATTTGTCTATAAAATGGACATAAAGCTTTAGTTTAATGGTTGTTTAAAAAGTTACTGCAGAAGATGTTAAAACAGCAAGAGAAAAAAGCATGCATTAAAATGAAAAAGCCAAAATGGTAGATTAGCCTCTAACATTAAATATGATTCATTGGATGCATAGAAAACTAGCGAGAAGCAAGTTCAAATATCCACACAAACATTAAATTCCCTTTTGGACTTCGTAAATCACAAACTCTTAGCACTACAAACTGTTATTTTCAAATATATCAGAAAATGCTGAGGATAGATTATACAGATTTGCAATAGATAAGGATTTCCCTGTCAGTCATGTCTGACTCTAGGGCATGGAGCTCATCTTCATTGTCATAGGTGTATACTACAGACCACCCAACCAAGCAGGGGAAATAGATGAACTTTTTGCTAACCAGTTAACAAATGTATTTCGGAAACACTCCATAATAGTAATGAGCGTCTAACTAGCCTAACATCAACTGGGTGACAAATTCTGCATCAGGTGGGAAATAGAATAGGTTCCCAACCAATCTAGCTGACAACCTTGTCATCCAAAAGGTAGAGGAGGGAACTAGAGGGACAGCTATATTGGAACACATATGTGATAGAAGGGGTTGACGTTGTTGCAACTGTGTGGGAGAGTGACCACATCATATTGAAATTCAATATAATTCAAACGCAAACAATAGAATGTAATCAAATCAATATCTTAAGACTTCAAACGAGCTTATTTTAATAAGCCTAGAGAGAGCTTGGGAAGGATTCCATGGATGAAAATCTTAAAGGGGAAAACCACTCAACAGGGTTAGGAAACTCTGAAAAATATTATTATAACAGCGCAATCCAGCTCAATACCACTGAAAAAGAAAAACAAGAAACCCAAGAAACCACCAGCCTGGTTACACAAAGAACTCTGATAAACTGAAAGACAAAAAGAATAATTACAAAAAATGGAAAGAGGGAGATATAATTAACGCAGAGAGCAAAAAGCCCAAACTTGTAATGATGAAGTCAGAAAAGCTAAGGCTCAGAATGAAATAAGGCTTGCAGGAAATGCCAAAAATAATTTAAAAAGTTTAAAATTATAAAAGGAGAAGAAAAAAAGCCAAGGAAACAATTGGTCCACTAATGAGAGAAGATGGCAAGAAAGTAATGGGCAGTAGAAAGCAGAGCTACTCAATTCATTTTTGCATCTGTCTTCACACAAAGATAATACATCTCAACTTATCAAAAACTTAACTGTAAAAGACAGATTAGGAATACAAATTAAAATAAGCAAGAAAATACTAAGAGATATATCTGTCTGCTCTAGACAAGTTCAAATCGCTGCCGACAGATTACATCCCAGAGTGCTGATGGAGCAGGCAGATGTGATCTTAGAACCATTGAACCGTATCTTTCAAAGATCTTGGATTACTGGGGAACTACCAGAGGACTAGAAAAGAGTTGATGTAGTCCCAAACTTTAAAAGAGGAAAAAAATAACAGATCCAGGAAACCACAGACCAATCAGCCTGACATTAATACCTGGGAAGATCCTGGAAAAGTTAATAAAGCATCAGACCTGCAAATAGCTAGAAGCAAGCAAAGTTATAACCAGAAGTAAACACGGGTTTTTCAAAAACAGATTGTGCCAAATAAATCTTATTCCGTTCTTTGAAATCAGAGGACAAGCAAAATGCATGCTTTCAAACTGCAAGGTTGGCAAGTAATTGGAGCTCACCCTGTTGCATGGAGTGTGGATCTTGAACCCCAGCAGTCACTCTCCAGCTGGAAGCACTGAAGAGCATCTTTAATCCCTGTGCCATTTCACCCACATTTAACCCCTGTGCCATTTCACCCACATACAGATATGCACACAAATATAAACATACTTACCAAAGTATGTTAAAACTCCAGGTGTATTTCAACTGCAAACACGTCCCAGAAGTGGGTGCACTCACACTTCTTAGTCTAATTTTCGAGGAAGAGGGGGCTTCAATAGATGAACGTCTTCAACAGATGAAAAAGTGCTCAAAACATCTGCAAGATATAATGCCCAGTTTTGTGCATGAAACTCCTCAGTTTCCAAGAAAACAACAAGATCATAAAAATCACAAAGAGTCAATCCTAAACTGAAGGAGACTTTTTAAATCTCCCAACCAACACAAAATTGCAGGCACTTTTAAAGCACCAGTGGAACAAAATTTGGGGAGGGAAGGAACATGCAGCAGCAGCTGCTGACCTGTTTCTGTTTGATTTCTTTTCTGCGGAGGAAACCAAACAACTTTACTTGCTCCCTCCTCAACTCACTTTCCAGCTGTTGCGATCCTAGGAAGGGCAGAAAAGCCGCCCTCCACGCTTCCATTCCGGGTTAGCCGGAAGAGGAGATTCCTCTGTTCTCCTCTCTAGAAACCCAGTACTCGTTTCTTTATACACCTTTCGGCTCCGTCGCTCCCCCTCCCGTTCAGCAACCATCGATTCCGTTACGCCGGTATTGACGGCTTACTAGTCGCCGGGTGTTACAATACTCATTTCATGCAGCGCCATCTAGTGACATAAGGCTGAAAATCACTCTTGTTTGCAAAGGGGTGTCAAACTGCCAGCCAGCGGCCCAGATGCGTCAGGCCAAAACCTCACCCACACCATTGCTGGCAATGGGCGGAACAATCGCGATAACTCCCGATCTGTAACCTGGAGCTTTAACCACTACACCAAACTGGCTCTTTGCAATCTTTGTAATCTCCAGATAACGGAACATTTTTTGTCTTTAAACCTGAACTTCAAACTTTTCTTCTGAGTTAATGGTATGTTTCTCCGACTGTAGACTGCCAGCTTCTGGCCTGGCCCCGAGGACCAGCTCCTCTGGCTATGAGATTACCTGTTGCTGAATTTTGCTTGATTTTATGAGTTTTATAGTGTTTGTAAGTTTTCTGAGATCTCATTAAGCCACTTGTTCTTCTGTAAGAGGGTTATGCAAGTTGGGAATTCCACCATTCCCTTTGTATCAGTTTCAGTTTGTCTACTTTGAATCTTTGCATAATGAAATCTAATGACTATTTTCGCAGGATAATCAAAAGAAATACACTCTTTGCAATGAACTCTTACAGTAGCCAGTCGGTCATATTATCGTTAGTCCTCACCTCACACTCATACCCATTGCCCCTCTTTCCTGCCATCTGATATTTTGGTTGTATGTATGAGACACACCCTAAAAGAAAAAAAAGTCTTTACAGAATGATAATTAAAGGAAACACACTCTTTGCAATGAATTCTTACACTAGCTAGTCATGAATTTCTCCACTTCCATCCCCTCTGCGCTAATGTCCCATTTTGTTCCCCAAAGACGTCATCAGAATGTTGTAGCCACTAAGAGTTTGTTTTACGGAATGGTCTTCTGAAAGATCCAGAGATATTTGAGCTATTTCAAGCATTTTCAGCAGCCAAGCATTAAAAACGTGCCCCAAAATGACGCTAAAGAGAGAGAGAATTCAATGTAATCTAACAAGCATTAAATATAATTTGCTTCTTTGAAAGTTTAAAATTTTTATTACACTGAAAGACCAGCATAAGGAACTTGGGGTGTATTCAGCTAAATAGTACAGAAAATAAAGTATAAAAATAGTAATTATACAAAAACAAAAAACCAAAGAGACATAAATGACAGAGTATATATAAAAATAGAAGCCTAAATGGAACTAAGAGCACAGTGAGGAGCATAAGATATGGTTAATAAATTTTAGCATGTGGCAGATTAATCTCTCTATGGAGCAAAAAATATGAGCCGGATGCTCCTTAAGACTACTTTATGGCACAAGTCATCCATCAGCTGATCATATTTAAGTGCTGCTCCGCAGAACCTGGCAACATTATACTGTATTTTGTACCAGGGTGACTATCTGAACGCTGCACAGTGATGTAGAATTGTCCTGTGCACCCTGAGGATTTATGCAGTACTGAAGAGACAGCCTGGATACTAATATCTCCATAATACAGCCACTGGAGAAGCATGTATTTTGTTGTTTCTGAATGTTCAGATTCACGGGCACATTGTATTATAAGCTGAAGTGTATTACTGAAATGAACAACCCTTGAAATCTTTGGTGTCGTCTACATTAACGAAAAAAATTAGCACCTTCCACTACTATCACCCACCAGCATTTAAAGAGGCATTTCTAAGCGAAGGAGATCACAGCAGGAGGTGGTGGAAAAACTGAAGATCCTACACTCAAAAACCACATCCCCTTTTTCTCTATAATATTCCAACAGCATTTGCGTATCACGTTCAACAATCTTTATATGTTGTGAATTTTTTCTGCTCTTCTCAATGCCCCAAACCTCCCTCATATGTTCCCCATTCTGTGCTTCACTCTTCTTGCTTAATTCTTTACAATCTAAACAGGGATTCTTCTTGCCCTGAATTTCTGAAAATGTTAAGAAAAGATGAACTCTGAACCTCTTTATTTCTCTGCTCCCATCATGTCATATTTGGGGAGCTACAAGCACTAGGTAAATAAGAGTGTTCATATCTTCTAATATATATATTTAGCATAATTGGCATTACAGAAACCTGGTGGAATGAAAACCATGACTGGAATGGAGTGATGGATAAAAATTGTTCAAAAGAACCAGAACTACAAAAAGAAGAGGGGATGTAAGAGATTACTACATATCTTATAGAAATGCACATGATCAAAGATAAAAGCCCTTCAGAATTTATATGGGTCAATATAAAAGGGAAAAAAAGTGACATTGCCATAGGGCAGTGGTTCTCAACCTGTGGGTCGGGACCCCATTTGGGGTCAAACGACCATTTCACGGGGATCGCCAAACAACACAGTCCACCATTTTTGCCCCCTTTTCCTTAGCTGTGCTACTCCCTTTTATTCTATTGGCTTTTGAAAGCCAATAGAATAGACTCTCTTGAATAGAGTCTAATTCTATTGGCTTTCAAAAGCCAATAGGAATTGTCCAGGCTGTCTCTGCCCTGCTGAGCCCGCCAAAAGTCCCATTCTGCAAACGGTGCTGCAGCACCAGTTGAGTAGTCCTCGACTTACGACCGGTTGGGGGTCGTGGCATTAAAAAGGTTGAGAACCACTGCCATAGGGGTATACTACAGGCCACCCAACCAATCAGAAGAAATAGATGAACTGTTTGCTAATCAGTTAAGAAATGTATGTAGGAAGAATACCACAGTAGTATTGGGAGACTTCAACTACCACATATCAGCTAGGAAACAAACTCTGCAGCGAGTGGGAGATCAAACAGATTCCTAACCAACTTAGCCAACAACTTGTCATCCAAAAGTAGAAGAGGGAACTAGAAGTAAAGCTATACTGGACCTAATTCTTACTAATAGAGAAGAAGTGATAGAGGGAGTTGAAGCTGCCGGAACCTTGGGGGAAAGTGACCACGTCATACTGGAATTCAATATAATGCAAACACAAGAAAAAGAAAATAATTCAACTGATCTCTTAAACTTCAAAAAAGCTGATTTTAACAAACTCAGAGGGACCCTAGGAAAGATGAAAATCCTAAAGGGGAAAACAACTGAAGAAGCATGGGAAACTCTGAAAAATGCTATCATAAAAGCCCAGTCTAGCACAATACCACTGAAAAAGAAAACAGGAAAATCAAGAAACCAGCATGGCTGCACAAAGATCTCTCAGACAAACTGAAAGACAAAAAAGACAAGTACAAAAAATGGAAAGAGGGACACATAACTAAGGCTGATTATCAGCAGACAGCCAGAACATGCAAAGACGCAGTCAGGAAAGCAAAGGCTTAGAATGAATAAAGACTTGCAACAGAAATCAAGGATAATAAAGTTTTTTTCAACATATTAATAACAAGAAAAAGTCAAGGAAACTGTAGGCCCACTAAAGAAAGAAGATGGCAAGGAAGTAACAAGCAATAGGGAGAAAGCAGAACTGCTTAACTTATTCTTTGCATCAGTCTTCACACAAAAAGAATTTATAGCACAACATACTAAAAAGAATACTGCAAAAGGCAAACTAGAAACAAAAATTAAAATAAGCAAGAAAATGGAAGAGAATACCTATCCGACCTTGACGAATATAAATCACCAGGACCCGACAGATAAGATAAGAAGATAACCTTTATTGTCATTTTTATACTGTGGGCACAGTGGCACACATCAAAAATGAAATTTAGTTGACCGCTCTCAAAGTGAAACACATACATGACAAAGAGCTGGCAAATGTTATCTCAGAACCATTGCACCTATCTTTAAAAAATCCTGGAGCACTGGGGAAATACCTGAGGGTTGGAAAAGGGCTGATGTGATTCCCAACTTCAAGGGAAAAAAACGGACCCAGGAAACTACAGACCAATCAATCTAACATAAATACCTGGGAAGATCCTGGAAAAGATAATAAAAAAAACAACTAGAAGCAAACAAAGTTATAACTAGTAGCTAGCACGGGTTTGTCAAAAACAGATCATGCCAAACCAATATTTCATTCTTTGATAAAGTGACTAAACTAAGACCAGCGAAATACTGTGGATGTAGTATACTTAGACTTCAGTAAGGCATTTGATAAGGTAGACCACAACCTACTCCTTGGCAAGCTAGAGAAAGGTGGAATAGACAACATCACCACCAGATGGATCTGTAACTGGCTGGCAAACCGTACTCAATGAGTAGTCCTCAATGGCACTACATCCACATGGAGAGAGGTGAGCAGTGGGGTACCACAAGGTTCCGTCTTAGGCCCAGTATTCTTCAATATTTCATCAATGACTTAGATGAGGGAATTGAAGGGGAACTCATCAAATTTGCAGATGACACCAATCTGGCAGGAGTAGCCAACACCCCAGAAGACAAGCTCAGGTTCCAAAAAGATCTTGACAAACTTGAACAATGGGCCCTGTCCAACAAAATGAGCTTCATTTTGGAGAAAAGCAAAGTCTTACATTTAAGCAGGAAAAATCAAAGGCACAAGTACAGACTGGGCAAAACCTGGCTTAAAAACAGTAACTGTGAGAGGGACCTTGGAGTCCTAGTGGATGATCACTTGACTATGAGCCAGCAGTGTGCAGCAGCTGCCAAAAAAGCTAATACAATCCTGGGTTGTATGAACAGAGGCATAGAATCAAGATCACGCAAAGTATTAGTACCGCTTTATAAAACCCTGGGAAGACCACACCCACAATACTGCAGCCAATTTTGGTCACCATATCACAAAAAAAGATGAGAGTTTGGAAAAAAATCAGAGAAGAGCAACTAAGATGATCAAAGGCCTAGAGACTAAAACATACGAAGAACGGCTGCAGGACTTAGGTTTGGCTAGTCTAAAGAAAAGAAGAAATAGAGGGGACATGATAACAGTATTTTAGTATTTGAGGGGCTGCCACAAAAAAGAGGGGATCAAATTATTTCCAAAGCACCAGAGGGCAGGACAAGAAACAATGGTTGGAAACTGACCAAAAAGAGAAGCAACCTAGAATTAAGGAGAAACTTTCTGACAGTGAGGACAGATTGCCTCCAGAAACCATGGGCGCTCCATCACTGGAGATTTTAAAGAAGAGGCTAGACAGTTACTTGTCTGAGATGATATAGGTTCTCCTGCTTGAGCAGGGGGTTGGACTAGAAGACCTCCAAGGTCTGGTCTGGTCTGGTCTGGTCTGGTCTGGTCTGGTCTGGTCTGGTCTGGTCTGGTCTGGTCTGGTCTGGTCTGGTCTAGTCTAGTCTAGTCTAGTCTAGTCTAGTCTAGTCTAGTCTAGTCTAGTCTAGTCCTGAGACATGTTTAACTAAATAAAATCAGACCAGAAATTCAATGATTAATTTCTCAGGTGCATTTCCAAAGGGAGATGAGAAAAATTCAAGCCTTCTCTTTACTCATTATCTTCAGGCTCATGTGGATTTTCTTGTGTACAGTAAGGGAGGAATTTTGTGAGAAGCACCGTCCACACTCTGGGCACTTAAAAGGTTTCTCACCTGTGTGTAAACCTACATGATTTATAAGGTTAGTTCTAGTACTGAAACCTTTCCCACAGTCTGGACACTCATATGGTTTCTCCCCTGTGTGAGTCCTCTGGTGTATCACCAGGCCAGAATACCAACTGAAACATTTTCCACAGTTCAGACACTTATATGGCTTATCACCTGTGTGAATCCTTTGGTGTTTCACAAGATTGGAATTATGACTGAAAGCTTTCCCACAATCAGGACATTCAAAGGGTTTCTCTCCTCTGTGAATCCTCAGGTGTTTCACAAGGTCAGAATTATGACTGAAACTTTTCCTACAATCAGGACATTTGTACCGTTTCTCCTGAGTGTGAACCCTCAGGTGTTTAACAAGACTTGAATTCAGACTGAAACCTTTCCCACAATCTGGACACTCATATGGCTTCTCTCCTGTGTGAGTCCTCTGGTGTATCTTCAGGTTGGAATTACAGAAGAAACGTTTCTCACAATGGGGACACTCGTACCGTTTCTCCCGAGTGTGAATCCTCAGGTGTTTAACAAGATGGGATTTCTGACTGAAGCCTTTCCCACAATCTGGACATACATATGGTTTCTCCCCAGTGTGAGTCCTCTGGTGTTTCACAAGGTTGGAATTATGACTGAAACCTTTCCCACAGTCTGGACACTCATAGGGTTTCTCCCCTGTATGAGTCCTCTGGTGTATCACCAGGTTGGAGTTATGACTGAAATCTTTCCCACAATCTGGACACTCATACATTTTCTCCCTTGTGTGAGTCCTCTGGTGTGTCACCAGGTGGGAATTCTGACTGAAATGTTTTTCGCAATCTGGACACTCATAGGGCTTCTCTCCTGTGTGCATCCTTTGGTGTATCACGAGGTGAGAATTCCTACTGAAAGTTTTCCCACAATCAGAACACCCAAAAGACTTCTCCCCCATTTCAGGCCTTTTTTCTATCACTAGAGTAGCGTGTTTCCCAAGGTTTTGTCACCTTGAGGATAGAAGGTGGATTTTTCTTCAGTGTGGTTCCTCTCAGGTATAATCAGGTGTAGTCTGCAATCTGTTCTTTTCCCACAATATGCACATCGGTGAAGCTTTTCTACCAATGATATTTTTGGATTCTCAAGGTCAAAAATATGTTGGATCCCTTCTTGGATGGATGCTTTCATTTAAGCTATTCTTTCTTCACAGGGCAAGGCTTGCATGATCGCCCATCCTATATGATTATTGAAGTGATCGCTTCCTCCCCAGTGATTTGCAGAATATTTCCCCTTTTTCTGAATTTGGAAATAATCCCTCTTGACCTTTTTCTGGAGTGCTTGCTTGAGTTCTACATACTCAGTTTTTTCCCCCACCTAAAACTTTCTTCCTGTTATTCCCTCTTTTGTCCGTCACATGCATGGACACAGAGAAGAATTTTGTGCTTTTCTGGAGGAAGTGGAAAAGACTTTCATTGCTGGCTGGATATGCTTTCCTTTTTAATGCTGCTTGTGATTCTCACTTGTCCGGAATTATCTTCCTGGCATCCTCTTTATCTATAAAATGGACATAAACCCTTAGTTTCTGCACCCTTAGTGCAAAAGATGTGAAAAGAGCAAGAGAAAAAAGCATGCATTAAATGAAAAAGCAAACATGCCAAAACGCTTGATCACCTCTAACATTAAATATGATTCATTTGATGCATAGAGGTCTAGCGAAATGCAAGTTCAAATAGCTACACAATCATTAGATTCCGTTCTGGACTTCAGTAAATCACAAACTCTTAGCATTACAAACTGTTATTTTCAAATATATCAGAAGATGCTGAGGATAGATTATATAGATTTGCAATAAGTGAAAATTTCCCTGTCGGTCAGGTCTGACTCTAGGGCACGGTGCTCACCTCCCTTGTCCTAAGTCAGGGGTAGGCAACCTTAGCTCTTTTATGACTCGTGGACTTCAACTCCCAGAATTCCTGAGCCAGCCATGCCGGCTCAGGAATTCTGGGAGTTGAAGTCCACGAGTCATAAAAGAGCCAAGGTTGCCTACCCCTGTCCTAAGTGTATATTACAGGCCACCCAATCAAGCAGAAGGAACCGACAAGCACCGCTGGAACAAAATTTGGGGAGGGAAGGAACATGCAGTAGCAGCTGACATTTTCAGTGTGGTTTCTTCTGTTTCTACACTGTGGAGGAAACCAAACAGCCCTAATTGCTCCCTGACTCTCCTCCGATCTGTCCTCAACTCACCTTCCAACTACTGTTTGATCCTGGGAAGAGCAGGAGAGCCGCCCTCCAGATCTCCATCCTCCCACGGGTCAGCCGGAAGAGGAGATTCCTCTGTTCTCCTCTCTAGAAATCCAGTACTCGTTTGTTTATACACCTTTCGGCTCCCTCGCTCCCCCTCCCGTTTGATGGCAGTATTCAGCAACCATCGATGCCGCTATTGTATTGACGGCTTTCTAGTCGCCGGATGTTACAATACTCATTTCATGCAGCGCCATCTAGCGACATAAAGCTTAAAATCACTGTTCTTGTTTGCAAGATTTTTGATCAATTACTGCAGGGGTCTTCAAACTTGGCCCTTTTATGACTTGTGGACTTCAACTCCCAGAGTTCCTCAGCCAGTATGAGGAATTCTGGGAGTTGAAGTCCACAATTCATAAAGGGGCCAAGTTTGAAGACCCCCTGGATTACTGTATCAGTGTTTCTCAACCTTGACAATGTTAAGGCATGTGGACTTCAACTCCCAGAATTCCACAGCCAGCATTGGCTGTGTCCACATGCCTTAAAATTGTCAAGGTTGAGAAACACTGTGTATCTGCCATTAAGTGGTTTTCAACACCAACCACAGCGGTGGTTTCACTTTGGATCTATCCCTAACCTGTTCTTTCTGGTCTTTCAGGGATGCTCTCATAGCTATTACAGTTGAGCCAGCGCTCTGTTTGCAAGAAGCAAGAACTTAAACCAACATGGGGGGGGGAACGGTATGCATACAAACAGCAACAATTATATATCATTTATTGTGCATGCATGAATTCTGTTCCAGCCAGTTTTTTGTCCTAGCGGGCAAGGATAACTCCTCAAAATCTACCAAGGGAAGCTTGAAGAGTGAAGTTTACTCTTCACTGAGTCTACTTAGCTTTGCCAGATTAAGTTGGTTGCTGGGCCCTAAAAGTTCATGAAGTTCTTGTTTATGTGTGGCTCTAAATTATTGCCAGCTTCATCTTGTGGGAAGAATCCAGAGAAAGAAATATTTTGGGAAATATTTAAAAAGTCAGAATATATTTCCCCAAAGGAATAATGGAGATCTTTAAAAAGACAGAAACCAGCCCCAGCCCCTAGGCCAGCGGTTCTCAACCTATGGGTCGCGACCCCATTTGGGGTCGAACGACCATTTTACGGGGGTCGCCAAACAACGCAATCCGCCACTTTTCCCCCTCAGGGGGGCGGCGCCGTGCATGTGCGCTGCGCATGGGGGTGGCGCCGTGCATGCGCGCCGCACATGGGGGCACCGCCGCACATGCGCGCCGCGGCGCGTGACTGGGGGTCGCCGTATAAAAAGGTTGAGAACCGCTGCCCTAGGCAGAGATCAGCTTTTAGAAATGCAAATTCAATAATCCATTCAGGAAGGTTGGGGTCAGAAAGCTAGAAGCTATGAGATGAGGAATCTACATACCCCACCCAAACTCTAAAAGACAGGACCTTTGAAGACATAATAGGATTAATCCACCAATACCAAAAGAGCACACTCACACTCAGGTCAAAGTACATGATATAGGACAGGGCTTTTCAACCTTTTTACCGATTGTACCACTTTTAGGATATGGCAATATTCGAGTACCACCTAGCAAAGTGTTAAAGACTTGATGACCAAAAAAAAAACCTGTTTAAAGTTGCAATTGCATTGAAATGACTTATGACCATTTTTCACACTTATGACCATTGCAGCATGCCCAGGGTCATGTGATTTATATTTGGATGCTTGGCAACTGATTCCTATTTACTGTATAATGGTCACAGTGTTCCAGGGTCATGTGATCCTCTTCTGCAACCTTTTGACAAGCAAAGTCAATGGCAGAGCTGCTGGTGGCCAGATGCTAAGGCAGGACTTCCTTTCCTCCCTCCCTTCCCTTCCTCCCCTTTTCTCATTCCCATCTCCTTCTGAAGGAAGAATTTGAACCCCCCCCCCATATTTTCCCTCTTCCATATATTGATCAAACAAGGAAAGGCCTCCCGAGACAGAAAAGACAAGCTGCTGAGTGAACTAACTTAAAAAGGCACATTCCCCTTTAAGAATTAGCTACTGGCTAGAAAGGAAAGTTTATGGATTACTGCCTTGTCGTGGCGAAGGGGCTTGCGTAACTCAATGAAGCTATAAGCTATGCCGTGCAGGGCCACCCAAGACGGACAGGTTATAGCAGAGAGTTCTGACAAAATGTGATCCACTGGAGAAGGAAATGGCAAACCACTCCAGTATCTTTGCCATGAAAACCCCATGGACAGTACTAAAAGGAAAAAAGATATGACGCTGGAAGATGAGCCCCTCAGGTCGGAAGGTGTCCAATATGCTACTGGGGAAGAGCAGAGGGCTAGTACTAGTAGCGCCAGAAAGAATGAAGCGACTGGGCCAAAGCCGAAAGGACGCTCAGCTGTGGATATATCTGGTGGTGAAAGGAAAGTCCAATGCTGTAAAGATTTTTTCTCCATAGGAACCTGGAATGTAAGATCCATGAATCAAGGCAAGCTAGACGTAGTCAAAAAGAGATGACAAGACTGAACATCGACATCTTAGGAATCAGCGAACTAAAATGGACAGGAATGGGTGAATTTAACTCAGATGACCATCAGGTATACTACTGTGGGCAAGAATCCCTCAGAAGAAATGGAGTAGCCTTCATAGTCAATAAAAGAATAGGAAAAGCAATACTGGGATACAATCCTCAAAATGACAGAATGATCTCTATTCGAATCCAAGGCAAACCATTCAATATCACAGTAGTCCAAATCTATGCCCCAACCACTGCTGCTGAAGAGGATGAAATTGACCGGTTCTATGAAGCCCTACAGCACCTTATAGAATTAACACCAAAAAATGATGTCCTTATCATCATGGGGGATTGGAATGCTAAGGTAGGAAGCCAAAAGATAACCGGAATAACAGGCAAGTTTGGCCTTGGAGTACAAAATGAAGCAGGGCACAGGCTAATAGAATTTTGTCAAGAGAATACGATGGTCATAACAAACACTCTTTTCCAACAACCCAAGAGACGGCTCTACACATGGACATCACCAGACAGTCAACATAGAAATCAGATTGACTATGTGCTCTGCAGCCAAAGATGGAGAAGCTCTATACAGTCAGTAAAAACAAGACCAGGAGCTGACTGTGGCTCAGATCATGAGCTTCTCGTTGCAAAATTTAGGCTTAAATTGAAAAAGTAGGGAAAAGCACTAGGCCACTCAGGTATGAACTAAATCATATTCCTGATGAATATACAGTAGAGGTGACAAATAGATTTAAGGAACTGGATCTGACAGACAGAATGCCTGAAGAACTATGGATGGAAGTTCGCAACATTGTACAAGAGGTAGCAACTAAAACCATCCCAAAGAAAAAGAAATGCAAGAAAGCAAAATGGCTGTCTGAGGAAGCTTTGCAAATAGCTGAGGAAAGAAGGGAAGCGAAAGGCAAAGGAGAAAGAGAAAGATACACCCAATTGAATGCAGAATTCCAGAGAGTAGCTAGAAGAGATAAGAATGCCTTCTTAAATGAACAGTGCAAAGAAATAGAAGAAAACAACAGAATAGGGAGGACCAGAGATCTCTTCAAGAAAATTGGAGATATGAAGGGAACGTTTCATGCAAAGATGGGCATGATAAGGACCAAAATGGCAGAGACCTAACAGAGGCAGAAGAGATTAAGAAGAGATGGCAAAACTACACAGAAGAACTATACAAGAATGAGCTTAACATCCCAGATAACCACAATGAGATGGTCAC